GCACCCTCCACTATGGCACCCTCCACCGTGGCACCCTCCACTATGGCACCCTCCACTATGGCATCCTCCACCATGGCACCCTCCACTATGGCACCCTCCACCGTGGCACCCTCAGCAGTGGCACCCTCCCACTATGGCATCCCTCCACACGTGGCACCCCTCCACCATGCAGCCTCCACACCGTTGCACCCTCTGCTGTGGCATTCTCTCCACCATGGCACCCACACTGCTATGGCAGCCTCCACCATGGCATCCTCCACGTGACACCCTCCCACTAAGGCATCCTCCACGGTGCCCACTCCACTATGGCACCCTCCACCGTTGCACCCTCTGCTATGGCATCCTCCACCATGGCACCCTCCACTAAGGCAACCTCCACCGTGGCACCCTCCACTGTGGCATCCTCCACCGTGGCACCCTCCACTATGGCATCCTCCACCATGGCACCCTCCACTAAGGCAACCTCCACCGTGGCACCCTCCACTATGGCATCCTCCACCGTGGCACCCTCCACTATGGCATTCTCCACCATGGCACCCACCGCTATGGCAACCTCCACCATTGCACCCTCTGCTATGGCATTCTCCACCATGGCACCCACCGCTATGGCAACCTCCACCATGACACCCTCCACTATGGCATCCTCCACCGTGGCACCCACCGCTATGGCATCATCAACCGTGGCACCCTCCACTATGGCATCCTCCACCATGGCACCCTCTTCTGTCATCCTCCGCCATGACACTTTCTGCAGAGTCACCCTCTGCCATGTCATCCAACAACTATTTTTTTTTATATAATAATCCTTTAATCAATTAAAGTTTTGACAGGAAATAGTTTTTTCTTTTTTTAAATTAAGTCTATGTAGAAAATATTTAGAAAATTGACAAACACTAAACTTTATTATATGACAGGATCCTTCATCCATATACATACACCTTGGGTTGGACAGTGTTTTGAAAACCGAGTTAGTCTTTATGGTCTGCCCGGTTTCTGTGCAGGTAGTGAAACCATAGAGACTAACTGTAGGAATTCAATATACACCCCAAGGTGTATGTATATGGCTGAAGGATCCTGTCATATAATAAAGTTTAGTGTTTGTCAATTTTCAAAATATTTTTTACATAGACTTAATTTAAAAAAAAAATCAATTTCCTTTCAAAATTTGATAAAGGATTATTATATTAAAACCGTTTTAGAGGTGACAGTTGTCCTATATTGGTATATCAAATATTTTATAAACAGGGTATCTGAATAAAACCACAGAAAGAAATAATGAACGATCACACATTATCTGTACTGCAGTTGCTGAGATTATGAGGTGTTCAGGAATGACAGTCTGTAGCGGCAGAATTAAACGCACTATCGCCCCTCGCTGTAGGAGGCTCAGTTATAGGGCGACCTCGTGATTTATTGGTGGAGACTTGGACACCGCCCCATGTGTGGCTCGTGCCTTGCGTTAGGATAACACACGTTAACAGTTAATTCAGGCAGTTAATGGGCGCCCAGCCCTGAAATACCTCAAATTAGCATCCAGTTATCTGTTTAAACACACTGCTTGTAGGAAAATTATTTGAATACAGCTAATCTGAGCAGTTAATACTCAACTAGCGTGGTAATTTATCTACCAGCTGTATGGTTTTCCAAAACATTGTTTGCACTGTTACATTCAGCACTAAATAATAAAGGGACACTCCACTGCCCAAATACTAAACAACCCCTCCACACACTGTTTAGTAGACATAGCCCCCCAAAAACTTGCATGCATTTAATTGTGCATTTTTTCATTTGGGGTATATTTAATACCAGATTGCAAATGCTGCAGATATCTTTGCAAGCCCTCCCCTTCTAACCACACCCAGACTTTCTGTGGCTGTCCAATCACAGACTTCCCAATGCAGCTCCATGAGAAGTCTTTGCAAGGTAGGAGCTCTGGGCAATTGCTGCCTCTTGAGTTTAGCTCCACTGAGCTAACGAAACCTGGAAGTAACAGGACTGATTGTCTGATTGACTACCAGGGGGTGTAACAAGCATGGGCATCCGCAGGAATTTTTCCAGGGGGGGTGAGGGGCATAATTGTAATGACATCCATGCTTGGCCCCTCTTTGACAGTGTCATGATTTGAGCTGCTGACAAGTCCATCACCCAAACGCTTATTGAACGAGTGGGACTTTACCCATCAAAGCTCCTTATGTTCTAAATTTCAAGAGATGGGATACAAACTCTTGACACATTGGTAAAGGACCCGAGAGAAATTACACTGTAGCAACTCTGGGTTATCGGAAGTGCGATGGAGATGCAGGGTCGGAATGGGATTCCACATTTGGTGGACTTTCCCACATAGTAATATAGGCTAAAGAAATACTCAGATCTATCGGGTTCAGCCTTTCACACATCAGTTTCTGCGTCTAATCCTCCCCCCCACACACACAATTTAAAGTGATTTTCAGTTTTTTCTCAACATGAGAACAAACTCTCTTTATCGACTCTAAATTGGCATTCATATATATTTGTGATTATTCAGAATACAATTCTGTATTTCCTTAAAAAAAACATTCAGACATTGTGTAAAGTGACACTATAGTCACCAAACCAACTTTAGCTTAATGAAGCAGTTTTGGTGTATAGATCATGCCCCTGCAGTCTCACTGCTTCATTCTCTGCCATTTAGGAGTTAAATAACTTTGTTTATGCAGCCCTAGTCACACCTCCCTGCATGTGACTTACACAACCTTCCTAAACACTTCCTGTAAAGAGTCATCTAATGTTTACACTTCCTTTATCGCAAATTCTGTTTAATTTAGAATCTATTATCTCCTGCTCTGTTAATAGCTTGCTAGACCCTGCAGCAATCTCCTGGTAATTACAGTTCAATTTACAGATTATAAAAACTGCAAGTGATAAAAACCTTTAAAGTAAGTTACATCTGATTAAAAATGAAACCATTTTGTTTTCATGCAGGCTGTGTCAGTCACATCCCGGGAGGTGTGGATAGGGCTAAATAAACAGAAACGTAAGTGATTTAATTCCTAAATGGCACTGGATTAGGAAGAACCAAACACAGAAGTTTAAGTTGTTTTGGTGACTATGGTGTCCCTTTAAAAATCTGAGTTGTTTAGTTTCATCCAATGCATTCCCTTTGATTTTATCTCTGTCAGGTGTAATAATTTCTACCCCTGACTTAATTCACAAGTCAACGTATTGTACGTCTCTTACTAGTAAATACTTCTTTGCAAAGTTAAGGTGAGCTAATCTTAGCAAATTATTCCTCATGTTTAGCAGTAATTCCAGCCATTAATTCCCCCTTTTAGATTTATCACCGGCACGGTTACAGCTAGATTTTGCTGACAATTATTTCAAATACTTTTTATATGACCGAGAAAGGGCCCAAGTGCCGCAGTGCCGAGCTCCTGTTAAAATACGAGGGTTCATTTGAATTTTTACAGGGATAAATGGTTTTAAATGACTGATGAATAATTAATATGTTGCTTGCTGACAGTGTCAGGTGCACTTTTGGAGACCCCAACGCAGATTAGGTGCGTATTTGGTTAGATAGAATAATATCAGACATTGTTTTTGTTGCTGTTGAAATGTGACACAATGTGATGCAAGACTGTGTGTGAGTGTGTGTGTGTGTGTGTGAGGAAAGGGGGAGTCAATGCATCTCAAATCTGCTACTGTTCGCAGGTACAGTCTCAGAGACAAGAATTTTGGTGTGAAAATGTTCTGTATCAGGAATTAAATAGAGCCTGAGAAGTAATGGGATTAGCACGCTGGTGTTTTGTGTGGTAGCTTTCCAGCTATGCAGCATGTTGGTAACTGTTTTATAAACAATGCTTGGTCTGCACATCCATTTCATACCTCCCAAGTGTCCCTATTTAGGAGACGCAGTCCCTATTTTTTTTGACAATCTTTATTGAAAATGTCTTCACATGTAACACAGCAGTAAAGAATACAAAAGAACAATACAAAATTGTGTCTCCGTATATACAGATAAGTGCATAAAACGTTTGGTCAGAATTGACAAAGTAAAAATGACACTCCCTTTCAGCTACATAGCAAATTGGAATTTCAACTTAGTTTGTTCATCTGGGTTAGGCCTTTGAATTGGCAGGTGGAGCCCACCTAGTTGTATCCACAGAGTAGATACTTGGCTCGCATCCAGCGACAGTTTAGCGTGTTGTAAAGTGTGCCAATCAATGGCAGGTACATGAGACAATCGGCGGACTTGCTTTGGCTGTAGTCAGAAAGAGGAGGGTGCATAGGGAGGTAGAGAAAAGAAAGGGGGGTCCTGAGGGAGGAAGGGAAAGAGGAAAAAGTCAATTTACCCAGGGTACCTATTCTACTTGTGTCCAAATGTGAGATTCATCGGAAACTCAGTTTTTGTTGGTGTTCACCACCTCAAAATCTAGTTTATCCAAGGGGTCCAAATGAACGTATGTTTTTCTGCTAATTCTTGCTGTTGTGCTATCAGAGACTTTGTTATTTATTTCATCCACCTTCCACATCCATTGCCGGAGGGTAGGCATCTCAACCCATTTCTAGGAGAGGGGGATAAGCATTTTAGCAGCATTCAAGAGATGTTTTGTAAGTGCATTTTTTATATGAGAGGTTTATTCTGGTGTAACAGGATTGGGAAGGGCTTAAACGGCAGGTCGGCTTCCGTGATTTCCTTAATGGTGGCGTGGATCTGGTTCCAATAGGGCAAAATCTGTGGGAACGTCCACCAAATGTGGAATCCCCTCCCGATCCCACTTTTCCATTGCGCGCTAGGTATCCTGGAGTTAGTTGAATAAATTGTTATTAGTAAATCACCTAAAATTTCTCAGGACAATCCTGCCCGTGGCCACACACCCCATTCACACCCCTATAATTGAAACACCCCTCTTTGTCCATTTAAAATGTTGGTAGACATGCTCTTTACAACATCCCATGTATTTTATTTTAAAGAGAGCAGACCAACATTTGGACCTTCTCTAAGTCTAACTCCAAGTTCCGTACCGCCCAACATTTCAAATAGAAAGAGAGGCACCATTTTCATGTGTGGCCATTGGCACTAACATTGTGGAGCTCTTTAAAAAAAAGGGGGACAGAGGAATTTCTGATTGCCCTCCTAGACAAGGGAACTTTACTCAAAACAGCAGCCAACAAGTCCTTGACCCCTGCCTCTTTAGTCCATTGTTGACAGATGCTGATCCAGTCTAACACATTTATCAATGGCCGAGGACACTCCATTCTACCATTTCCTGGTAGAAGATGTTATCAGACCTGGGATTGCTAGAGATGGGTGAATAATGGCGGAAATAATTTCTGAATAATTTTTAAAGGCATTATCCTTACAATGCATTAGAAAATATAATGGGAATTAAATGCAATCTGAATTGTCCCTTTAAACGCCCCCAGTTTTACCCAGCGTGTGAAACAACCTAAGCTAGCTCTCAAACTCTGTTGAGCTTCAAAACTGCTAACCGACTAAATACATTTAAGAAACTTGCATTCATTAGACTTTCACTGAATGACCTGAAATTTAAATTGTTGACAAAAACAACACAAAAGGCTGGTCTTCGTCCACTGGAACAATTAAACTGCCTCCCTAGCATGTTTAGGGTTAAAGAATCACCTATACACCGGTTTCTTAATATCCCTCAGGTTAATTTCATAATAAATGTATATGCAGATTCCGCGTTATTATACCTTCTGTAATGTGTCCCTGTTTGTATTTGCCTGCAG